TCCATTCTCCCACATAGGTATATTTCATTTCTAACCAATGGCAGGGTACTATACTAAATATAATGCTTCAGAACAGATTAGAATTAAAACGCGCACTAAAGTTTGATGACTTAAAAGCTTTAATTATTGTTTTTTTTTCCTTATGAAAAAGATAGTCATTTTAGTTTGTTTACATTTTTACCTGCACTTATTATAAGTACCACCATCACAACCTAAGCACTGCCTTACATTTGACACTTCCATGGGGGGGAAAAGCACTTTTAAAATAAAAATAATAATCGTGTTAAATATTGAGATAGGTATTAACTTAAAGAAGATATTTTTTTATGTGGAAAGAAATAGTTATTTTCTTGGCTGCTTACTTCCATTGTGTTTACCTTGGTACCTTGTTTTGAATTAAGGCTTGTGCATACATTAGCTTGACTCCAGGCCAATTGGTCGACACACAAAACTTTTATATTTGCAGAAAGTGGCGTTCCCTTCAGCATTGGGAAGAATTCCATACCCACATGCCTCATGCTATCTCACGACACCGGAGTCAATAAAACTGTGGATGAATAGCTTTTCTTGCTGTGCCATTAGGTTGACTTCACAATAAACGCAGTCTGTATCGTAGCAAGAAATAACTACAAAGATTAACACTACTAGACCATTTCTAGAATAGCATGACCGCAGCAGGCTATGAACGAAGATGGAACTTCCCATTCCGAAATAAACCCCACTGGAAACGTAACATGTCCACAAACCTTTGCTAGCCTTCGCTCTCTTCCTCAAAGCAACCTATAGATGAGCAGTTATTTTGACATGACTTCAACAAGATGCTTGATTAATGGAACACTACTAATTCATTAAATTATCTGACAAGTGAACATGAACTGGAAAGTATAATTTTTTTAAAAAATAGAAGGAAAGATAGAAATTCCTGCTTGGTAATGATTTGATTTACATTGTTAGCCTGTATATGTAAAGAGAAAAGGGTAGAAATGGCACCTTTTGGATGAGTTTGATAAACATAATTTAAGTTTCTTACTACTGCACCTTGCATACAGTTTGGGGTGGATTAATACACGGGTGCTTTCTCTTAGGCATCTTTAAAAGATGCCTTGGTCCTCAAAAGTAGAATATTAGACTAAAACCTTCATAAACGTAAGTTTTAAAGCATAAGGTTAGAGATATTTTAATAAATTAATATACAAATATGTGAATCAGTACCATCTAGAATTAGTTTCTGAAAGTTTTACTTTGACTCTCAGAGTTCTTACCCAAAATTTAGAAGCTTCAGATTACGAACTGTTGACACTCAGGTAGCCTGTAATCCTGAAAAAGACATTGTTGTAATAATCCCAACAGTTCAGGTGCCTGTGTAGCTCTTCAGTTTTTCTATGTTTGTTGTATTTTGTGTATTTTAATGTTGCAAATGTGGCTGTTCTCTTCATGTCGTGTTTTTAATTCTTCATTTGATAATCTACTGTAACGTCGTTGCCTCTTTAAATCCTTAAGTGATTTGGGTTTAACTGTAAAGTAAAGCAATATTTAAATGCCTATAAAAAAAGCAAACAGTTCTAACAAAAAATGATTTTTATGATGTTTATAGCATGTGGGGAGGGGTAAAAAAAAAGCACACACCATTTACCAGCTCTAATTTCCCCATTCGTTCTCTGCTGCTGTCCTGTTTTGTGTTTTTTATTTTGACGTTAATAATCATGTTGTTAATAATAATAATAATAATAATAATAATAATAATAATAATAATAATGATGAGGATGAGGATGATGATGTACATGGCACAATCCACCTGGAATTTCTTGGATCAAGCCTCATTTGGGATCCAGGGGCTTGCGGAGAAAGATCCCGCGATGCCCTTCTGCATTTTTATGCAAGTTCCCATGGGGCTTCTCCCAAACAACAGCGCTTCCTGGCAGAAATATGCCGGCTGTGGTTTTTTGCCTTATCCATGCTAGATGAACCTGTTGGAAGGATATTAAAAATTTTAAAAAAGGCTTTAGCAAAATGGATTTATTTTTATAATATTTAACAACTGTCAATACCCAACTATATTAACTATTACAAATTCGTATTTACCTATTTAGAGAAGTCTGTACAGGTTTGTGGACATAAATGTTGAAAAAAAAAGTGTCAATGCAAATAAAGGCTGTTTTGGAGGAGACACCGAGTTTCTGGTCCTTGCTTTAATTTTGTCCCTTCGCAGCAAATGGGTGAATCAGTTGACCTGGGTTTATTATACCTGCTTTGATTCTGTCTGGTTTCCTGGAGAAACCCAAACCCTTAAAAATTGGAGAGTTTTACCTCAGGAGGCAACTTGGGCAGCCAAATAAAGATGTTTCACAGCATTCATGCCTCATAGGTTGCACAAAAAGTTAAGGAGGGAGTTTTTCTTCAGCCCGTGTTTAAGCATGTTGTGTGAACGCAGGTCTATATGTAGTCCTCAAATTAGAACAGTTCGTTTAGAGACCGATTACAGAAGCACTGAAAAAGAGGGCTGACAACCATTTTTTCACAGTTATGACCCTTGCAGCATCCCCGTGGTCATGTGATCAAAATTCAGATGCTTGGCAATTTGACTCATATTTATGATGGTTGCAGTGTCCTGGGGTCATGTGATCCCCTTTTGCGATCTGATGAAGAAAAGTCAACAGGGAAGCCCGATTCACTTTACTACTAGTGTTACTAACTGAACAACTGCAGTGATGCATTTCAAAACTGGCAAGAAAGGTCGTAAATGGGCAAAATCCACTTAACAGCCATCTCAACTAGCAAGAGAAATTTTGGGCTCAGTTGTAACTACCTTTATTGCATTGTCCCCTTTTCCAGCAAACAAGCTAGACAAATAATAATACCCCCAGCACCACCACACAAATTTACTTTAACCCAAGGATCACCAATCTTGGACCTCAGAAACCACCAAACCCATAATTTTAAAATCTAGGGGACACTAATATGAATTTTGACTGATGGTGGCTTGATGACTGGTGGGAGGGAGAGAGAGATCTGATCTAACCTCTTTCTCTCACACACAGACACACACACACACAAACAGAGGCAGGGGTGGGATTCAAAGTTATTAACTGGTTCTGAGGGCATGGCCTAATTTGTGGGTGTGGCTTGGTGGTCATGTGACTGGCTGGCCATGGCTTGTATGTAAATATTATAAATATGTAAATACTGATTTTTTTTAATTAAAAAAGCAACTTTTACCCAAAACCAGGCAAAGCAGGCAGGCAAATTGAGTTGCTCACAGAATCACAGATTCACTGAGAAACTGTCATCGGCTTCCTGAGTCTGTCACATAAAATTTGCTTGCAAGCAAACCCATAAAATTAACTCACAACACACCATGTATGTAAATATTGAATTTTTTATTAAAAAAGAGCAACTTTTATCCAAAAGCAGGCAGGCAGACTGAGTTGCTCACAGAATCACAGATTCATTCAGCGATCTATCTCTTTGCCATCTGCTACCTGAGGCTGCACTGCATAATAGAAACTAAAGTCCTAAGGAAAGTTCAGAGCAGAGCCAAAGATCTAAAGATTAGCCAGAAAGCAAGAAATCCAACCTTTCCTGCTTTCTAGTTAATCTAAAACTCCAGGCACAGCAGAACAGCTGATGGTCAGGGGAAAAAAGGAAAAGTAGCAACTTAGCAGGCAAGTTTGCCAGGTAAGGAGTGAGTGGGCAGGGAGGGTACCCGCGGGCCATGTGGGCGGCGCAGCCTTGTGTTCCCCTGCAGCTTGGATTAATGGTTTTGTGGGGTGCTCTGGGGGTGACATTTCTCTGCAGACCACCAAAATTTTCTCACGGACTACCTGTGGTCCGTAGCCCACTGCTTGGCGACCACTGCTTTAACCTACAAAAACATCTTTTGCCTCAACATATTCAGTTCCCTGAAAGAATACCAAGCTCTGATTTTTGTACATAGTCCTCAACTTACGACCCCAATTGAGCCCAAAATTTCTGTTGTTAAGTGGAGACATTTGTGAAGTGACTTTTGCCCCATTATACAACTCTTCTGGCCATAGTTTTTAAGTGAATAGCTGCAGTTGGTAAGTCAGTAACCTGGTCGTGAAGTGAATATGGTTTCCCCATGGACTTTGCTTGTCCAAAGGTCAGAAAAAGGGGATCACATGACCTCGGGACACTGTGACCGTCATAAATATGAGCCAGTTGCCAAGCATCTGAATTTTGATCACATGATCATGGGGAATGCTGCAGAGGTCATGACAATGAAAAACGGTCCTAAGTCACATTTTCTAGTGTTGTTTATAACTTTGAACAATCACTAAACAAACTCTTGTAAATTGAGGACTATCTGAATTAGACTATGTTGAGTTTCAGGTATTTTGAGTCTTTTAACCAGGAGGCACATTGATGGAGCTTTCCTTCTCCAGCTGCCCTGGGAGCTAAATCAAAGATCCTCAGTGAGGAGTCTTGGAAAGAAATCCCACCTTGGTTCAAATAACCCCAGTACACGTGCTTCATGTTCCCTGCAGAAAAATGAGACTTTGTTAGGGTAGAGCTCATGAGAGGGGTGAACTGACCGCCCTAACAGGCTGAGGAAGAAGCGGATTAAAATAATCCTTTTTTTAAAAAAAGGATAATTATCGGGTATGGATATCTAGCGTAAATGCAATAGAGGAAAAGATCTACGGCAGCGCAACATTCATCAGTGCAAGCTTCCAGGCTACATAGCTACGCTTCCGCCGTAGGACGTGATTCTCCAACGTTTCCGCAACTCCGAAGCCCCGCCCTTTCCACCCCGTCCCTTTTCTTTCCGCCCGGCCGACGTGACACAGCACAATAACCGAAAGCAGGCGGAAGCGGAGCAAGAGCGACTTTGGGCGCGGTGCATGCTGGTCCGTGTAGGCTCGCGACAGGGGGAGAATTAGAGCCTGAGCCTACGTATATTGAGTGCCATCGCTTCTGACCAAGGAGAAGTGTAGGGGCGGGGAATCTGCCAGCCAATTAAAGAGAGGAGAAGGCAAGAAGGAAGGCGGGCTTCCGCTGTGACTGGAAGGAGCGCTGAGGAGAGCCGGAAGAGACCGTCGAAGCTTTTGAGGGGAAGAGGTGCTGGCGGCTTGAGGGCCAATTGAAGCGACAGGTAACCGTAGGCGGGCTCGGCGGGAGAGCCCGGAAAGGTTGTGGGTGAGGGGTAACCTTTCTCAACCGCTCAAACGCACCCTTCAAGTCCGGACGGGGGTTGGGGAGGATGGGAATTGTAGTTCAACCTCTCCCACCACCAGGTTGGAAACGTGCCGCGGGTGGGATGCGCCCAGGTGAGGCTCAGAGGGTCGGTTTTAGAAAGGTTGGGCCTGAAAAAGTATTCCAGGAGTTGAGGGGTTGCCACAAAGAAGAGGGAGTCAAGCCAACAATGGAGGTTTTTAAGAAGAGATTGGACGACCACTTGTCTGAAATGGTATATAGGGTCTCCTGTTTGAGCATGGGGCTGGACTAGACGACCTCGAAGGTCCCTTCCAGCTCTATTCTGACTGAAGAAAAAAAAAAAAGATCCAGGGTGGGAGCAAAAGGGGACAGTCAACGTGGCCTCCTACCCAGAAAGAGCTTGGAGCTAGAACCTTCCTTGCCTTGCTAATTTTCTGCTTGCAGGGAGTTTTTTCTGGGTGCAGCTGAAGAATGAGGGGCCTGCAGTGGTGAGGCTCTTGCTTCTTAGGGTGACAGTCAAACCTACCCTTTTCCCCAGCGCCCAAATGATGCCAGGACTCCTCGTGGGATTGTCCCTGGCTTGGGATTCCTTGTTTGTTTTTGCAAAGCCTTTTAGTCTCCCCGGCCTGCCGAAATAGGTAGTATGAGGGAACACAGAAATTGAGAAAAAAACAATGGCGTTTGCCACCTTGTATCTGAGTTTATTTTAATTGCTTCTGTTTCTAAAGTCCACTACTGCTCTACTTTAGGACCACAATTGAGCCCAGAATTTCTGTTGCTAAGTATGACTTTTACCCCCATTATAGGACCTTTGTTGCCACATTTGTTAAGTGAATCTCTGTAATCCTTAAATTAGTAACATGGCTAAGTGAATCTGGCTTCCCCATTGACTTTGCTTCTCAGAAAGTCTCAAAAGGTGATCACCTGGCTCTGGGGTTCTGCAGCTGTCATAAATAAATGTGAGTCAATTACCAAGTATCCAAATTTTTTATCGTGACCATGGGGATGCAACAGTCATAAATAAGAAAAATGACCATAAGTCACTTTTTTTCAGTGCTTTTGTAACTTCAAACAGTCATTAAATGAATTGTAAGTTGAGGGCAACCTGTACATGCTGGAACTTTTTCATTCAGTTAAGCCTGTTAAGGTGATAAGACTAATGTGCATGTAATGTATTTAAACTGTTCTTGAAATATTTAAAATATGGAATGGTAGCTACTATTTATTATCCAGCCTGTATGTATGTATACTATAGAGTTATATGTTCAACTCAAAGTGGCAAATGTACCTAATATTCTTGTCTATTTTCCCAACAACAGCAACCCAGTACGACAGTTGAGTTGAGAGGCTGACTTTGTGGGCTTTCATGACTAAGGCAAGACTGGAACTCAATCGTCTCTGGACCAGCTAATTAAAATTAATGGAGTAATTGGTTTACTGCAATTTTCCCCAAATTGTAGATGGGGTAGACTTGTTTATAGAAAGCCAGTTTGGTCTTGTTAAGATACCAGGCTAGAAATTCGGAGACTCAATTCAAATCAGGCCTCAGTCATGAAAGCCAATTGGGTTAATTTAGGCCAGTCACTTTCTCTCAGCCCAGGGTGGTGGTTGTCGGAAAAATAGGAGAAAGGAGCATCAGATGTTGCCAGCCTTGAGTTAATTACAAAAATGATAAAGGGATATAAATAAGTACCTATAGCAAAGGTGATATTTGAGCCCAGTATTGGAACGTCCAATAGACATCAGTAGACTCATTTATATGACTATGATACATCATCAACTGGTATCAAAACCAGAATATTTTTATGCAAACAGCTATGCATTTTGATACAACTAGTACTACAGCCTCTCAGGAATTATACTATTTGTATTTTACCCCTAATGCTAAGTTTGCCCTAACATTGTTCCACTAATATGATCTGGGATCTGACGAAGAGGAAAAGGCCCATCATTTCGTGGAATGAAGAAAAGTGGGGACTGTGTTGGGTATATGGATACACCAACCAGGTTTGGGTTGAATAAATATGTAAACCTAGGATTAAGTGTCTTGTAGCTTTAAGCAAGAAACTGCAATGTCATTGTGGGTGCGGTTGCAGGCAGCAAATATAGGTAGGAAGGGAAACGTAATAGCCCCGGCTTCTGGATGCACCTGGTTACTGTTCCTGGTCTGCTGCCTGTGTTCTGGAACGTCTGTCTGCTTACTTTTGGAGGCTACTGTGCCAGATACCATTTCACCTGAACACAAGGACTGTTTGCTTGGTGAGCTGAGAATTCAGCGTTGTCCTTGAGAGGAAGGTATCGGAAGGAGAAGATTACAAGCAGATAAGGACATTGTATTTACTGTTAATGGACTTGATAACTGGATTGATATACTGGATACTGACATATGGACTGAATGACACTTCTTAATCTCTGTGTGTATTAAATAACTATTTTAAAACCACAAACAGTGTTTTTGTCTCCAGTGTGTGTATACTCTTGGGCCCAGCCTCTCTCTCATTTGGCTGCCTGGCTTGACTGCTGCTGTGCACTCAGCTCGGGGGTTTATCCCCAAACACTAACATTGGTTATGGGCCCAGCAGTGTGCACAGTCTAGCTAACCAGGATATACCATTGAGAGTTTTGGTCAAGAGTTACACATTGCTGTAAAGACAAACTGTTTGTTGAATAGTTATTTTTCTGCAGAGCAATGGCACAAGTAAATTTGCCAAGTCTGTCCATGATATCCAGGCTAGATGGAACAAACTATGTTTCATGGTCTATGAAATGTAGTTTACTGCTACGAAGAGAAGGTTTGTGGGACATAATAGCAAACCCACCAGATGTATCAAACTTAAATCCTAATGATGAAGAGGATTATAAACTGATACAGGACTATGAAAGAAAGAATGAACAGGCTTTGTGCATCATAGGTCTCACCCTGTCTGACCAGCAACTCATTCATATCCGTGGAGTGGAAAATGCTGCAGAATGCTGGGATAATCTCAAAAGGATTTATGTTCGAGACAGTGTAGGAGCTCATATCAATCTTACACGGAAGCTGTTTAGAACACATCTTGAGAGAAATGGAGACATGTTAACTCATTTAAACTGTATGAAAAGCATTTTTCAAGAGTTACAAGAAAAAGAGCTTATATTTAATGAGTTGCAACAAGTATACATTATACTGTCTTCTTTGGATCGAAGCTATGATGATTTTGTGACTGCTTTAGAGGTATTGCCAAAAGACAGTTTATCAGTAACTGAGATAACCGGCAGGCTATTAGAGGAAGCCAGGAGAAGGAGTGAACGTGACCAGCTGAGAGGAGATAACCCTAATGAAGAGAAATTATCTTCAAAGCCTGAAAGAAACCAGCTATGTAAGCTGAAGCACCCGGAGGAAGAGAAGTTATCTTCAACGGCATACACAATTAAAAAGTGTTTTAATTGTGGAGGCAGAGGACATTTGGCAAGATTCTGCAGGAAAGTAAAAAGCCAGAATGTAAAGAAGCCAAAGAAATCCTTTGAACTGGCCATGTTTAGCAATTGTGATATGAAAAATAATAAGTGCATACTGGAAAGAGATAACAAAAAGGTAACTGCAGCTTTAAATGGAGCATTATATGTCTTTCATGATAGTAAGAAAGGGGAGGCACAAACTGTATTTAATAATAACAAGCCTCATGATGAATGTATCCATTTATTGCATAGACGTTTGGGGCATGTGAATTTTAAAATGCTAAAACGTACAGTGGAGTTATCTGAAGGAATAAGGTTAAAGCCCTGTGATAAGTATTTGCGTTGTAATGTCTGTTGTGAAGATAAGAGTAAAATAATGCCTGCAAATAGGCTAAATGGTTTCAAAACTACAGAACCTTTAGAAGTAGTATTTGCAGACATTATAGGTCCAAAGAAACCCAGTATGGGGGGTGCTCGATATATACTGAGCATTATGGATCATTACTCTAGATATGGGTTTTGCTACCTAATGAAAAGCAAAACTGAAACATATCAACATTTCTTCAACTGGTTAAGGTTTGCTGAAAGAAAAACCAAACGGCAAATTATAACCTTGGTGACAGATAATGGCACAGAATTTGTTAATAGCAAATTCCAGAATAGGTTAAAGGCAGCTGGAATAGCTCATAAGACATCTGCACCATACAGACCACAGCACAATGCATTTGTAGAAAGGCGAGGCCAAACTCTGCAGGCAATGACCCGTACTATGTTAACTGATTCTGGGTTACCTGATTCTTTGTGGGGGGAGGCAACAATGTGTGCTAATCATTTATTAAATAATGTGGTTAACTCAACCACTGGTGAAATACCATTCACCATGTGGCATGGCAGGAAGCCTGATTTGAGTTACCTGCACACATTTGGTGCACCAGCATGGGTGCATATCCCTACACAACTCAGGCGTAAAGGGCAACATAGAGCTAAACAATTTTTCTTCGTTGGTTATCAAGCTAACCATAGGGCATATAGATTTTGGGAGAAAGGCACATCTAAGGTGTTATGTAGTGCCAATGCCCAATTTCTAGAGCACGTAGGATGGGATAACTTAGAGCAGGATAGCAATAACGAAGTGGTTATTGAATCCTACAGAAATCCCATTAAGTATCCCTGTAACTTTAAAAATAAAGTAAAGAGAGAAGTACAGGAAGAGATTGTGCCCATAGAAGAAGAAAAGGAAGAAATAGCTGAGCAAGATGAGGAAAAGGACCAGGTAGTAACTCAAGAAAGTCCTCATACAAGCCCTGTAATTCCCAGAAGGACTACACGTATATCTAGACCGCCTGATAGATACCAGGCTAACACAGTGTGCCAGGTAAATAGAGTGCCATCTACTGTGGATGAGATAAAAAGGTATCCTTCTAAAGAGAAAGAAAATTGGTATGCAGCAATTAATAAAGAATTGAAGTCTTTGAAGGATATGAAGGTGTATGAAAACGTGAGATTACCTAGTGATGAAAAACCCATTGGCTGCAGATGGATTTTTAAAATAAAAACAGATAAGGATGGAAACACAATCCATAAGGCAAGGCTAGTAGCCCAAGGCTTTAGACAAAGTGCAAAAGACTATGATGAAGTATTTGCACCTAGTCTTAAAGCAGCAACTTTAAGGGCAGCCTTAGTGTGGGCAGCAAGCAAGAAGTATATAGTTAACCATTTAGATGTGGAAACTCCTTACTTGCACGCTCCACTAAGACATACTGTTTATATGAAAAGGCCTAATGGATTTAAAGGAGACAATAATAATGATAATGATTGTTGGTTATTAAAGAAGAGCCTCTATGGTCTTAAACAATCGGGCTATGAATGGAACCAGTATATTGTAAAGGAACTGACCAATATAGGATTTAAAGCTGGTTTAGCCGACCCATGTCTATTTAAGAGTGAAAAGAATGGGAAAGTATCATTATTATTGTTGTTTACTGATGATATTGCTCTGATAACTAAAACTAATGATGAAGCAAATGAAATAATTGCATCATTAGCCAAGAAAGTAAAAATCAAGCAATTAGGGGAGATAAAGAGATATCTAGGTTTAAATATAGTGAGAACACAGAAAGGTTATAAGATATCTCAGGAAGATAAGATATCTAAATTGCTAATAGATTATAAGATGGAACTTTGTAAGCCTGCAAAGACTCCAATGAGTCAGGATATTTGCAAAATGGATACACAAAGTCCCAAATGTGATAAGGAACTGTATCAATCTTTGGTTGGTAGCTTATCATATATTAGCAATTGGTCAAGGCCAGATATTGTTTTTAGTATTAATCAGCTGGCAGACACAATAATGATCCGCTTCAATGTCATTGGAATGCATTGAAAAGAATCTTAAGGTATCTTAAAGGTACATTACACTATGCACTGTATTTAGAACCAAAAGGTGATCTCATATTGAGTGCTTATGCAGATGCTAGATTTGCAGCAGAAAGAGATACTAGAAAGTCGACTTCAGGAACAGCCATAATGCTGGGTAAGACATTAATAGGCTGGAAGTCAATAAGGCAACAGCATATAAGTTTGTCTACTATGGAGGCAGAATTCTCCTGTTTATCTTTATTGTGTACTGAGTTAATTATGTACAAACAAATGTTGAAGGATATGGGTATAACTAAATTACCCTGTAGTTGTACATGAAGATAATCAGGCAGCAATTCAAATGGCCACTAATATTGCAGTTAAAACGAGAAGTAAACATACAGATTTGAGGTATCTTAATGTAAGACAGTCTGTACAGAGTAAATTGATACAGCTGGAGTACTGCATGTCGGAGGACAATGTAGCTGATCATTTTACTAAAGCCCAAGGTGCTATTAAGCATCTAGAGAGTTGTGAAAAATATGGGTTTAGAATGTAAAGGCATTACATATTTATATCACCCAAAAGGGGAGAATGTTGGGTATATGGATACACCAACCAGGTTTGGGTTGAATAAATATGTAAACCTAGGATTAAGTGTCTTGTAGCTTTAAGCAAGAAACTGCAATGTCATTGTGGGTGCGGTTGCAGGCAGCAAATATAGGTAGGAAGGGAAACGTAATAGCCCCGGCTTCTGGATGCACCTGGTTACTGTTCCTGGTCTGCTGCCTGTGTTCTGGAACGTCTATCTGCTTACTTTTGGAGGCTACTGTGCCAGATACCATTTCACCTGAACACAAGGACTGTTTGCTTGGTGAGCTGAGAATTCAGCGTTGTCCTTGAGAGGAAGGTATCGGAAGGAGAAGATTACAAGCAGATAAGGACATTGTATTTACTGTTAATGGACTTGATAACTGGATTGATATACTGGATACTGACATATGGACTGAATGACACTTCTTAATCTCTGTGTGTATTAAATAACTATTTTAAAACCACAAACAGTGTTTTTGTCTCCAGTGTGTGTATACTCTTGGGCCCAGCCTCTCTCTCATTTGGCTGCCTGGCTTGACTGCTGCTGTGCACTCAGCTCGGGGGTTTATCCCCAAACACTAACAGACTATTTTTGCTATTACTCTACTTTCTATGTGCCAAAAACTTATATTTGGAATGTGGATAGATCTACCTTAGATGTTCAATTTTACATGCAATTATTCTGTTTTCATCAGTTTCACTCCTTTTTATTGAAGCACCTGAGTGATATATTCTGGAATTAAAAGCTAAACAACATTCATACTTGGATAGGATTCTGCAAGCTAGCCTAGGCAAAAAAAACTTTCCAGAAAAAAAAGGAATGGCAAATCACAGGCTGTCAAGAAATCTAAATGAATATGTCCAGAAACAGAATAACAGAGTTGGAAGGGATCTTGGACGTCCTCTAGTCCAACCTCTGCTCCAACCCTGTACCATTTCAAACAAATGGCTGTCCAAACTCTTCTTAAAAACCTTCAGTATTGAAGCACACACAACTTCTGGAGGCAAGCCATTCAACTGATCATTTGTTCTCTCAGGAAATTTCTTCTTAGCTCTAGGTTGCTTCCCTCAAGACAAATTCACTTTGATTTGAGCTTTGAAAAAATGTGCTATTGCTGGACAGGACAGTTTACTACATTATTGCCAATATTTTGTGGAAATATTTTTCTAAATGTTTTAACTCTGGAAGTAATTCACACACTTTAAAAAAATACTTCTGACTTTTTTCTAAGATCAGCTTCATTTTTTATGCTGATCAGGCTTTCATTTTTGCCCATATAAGTGTGTGATTATCGGATAAGGAAACTGATAGTCATTCTTTCAGTGGTTTCAATACTCTTCTAAAATAAGCACTGTTCTCAAAAATCTGGGTATGGTAGATAGTTGGGCTTTTTTGCTGTTTCATGGGGCAGTTGCTCTGTTTTAATAATGGCATAGAAATTTTCATCAAACATTTCTGAAATAGCACCGATTCTGGACTCTCCTTTTGTTATCATTTATCTACATTGTTTTTCCACACTGAAAAATTGGTACTGAAGTTGAAAGTGAGGAGGCTGGTTACTAGGTACAAAAGGGGGGAAAGCACTATTTCTTGGGAGTGCAAGAATTAATGAAAATTATGGTATTGTAGCTGCTTCAGCAGTTGGATCTGTGTTCCTCTTCCATATTTTTGCAACAGAGTACCCCAAATTCAGGTAAAACTAAATACTGTTGTTGGTGCAACCCAAGTGGGAGATTCCAATAGCATCATAGGGAGGTCTATGCAGATTCTCAAGTCATTCAGATCATGGTTGTCCCAAAGGTGCTGTCAGGGCTCCAACAAATCCCCCTCTTTCAAAGCAAAAGTCTCTAGCCGCATCTCAGAAAAAGTAAATCGGTTTAATAGAAATTGCCATGGTGGTATGTGGTTGGGTGCAGCTGGTACCAAATCACATCATACATTTCCCCATTGGCCCTGGTCTTTCTCCACCCCCTGGATGTGACTTCTCCAATAGGACACAGGAATCTTCAAGAGTCATCCATCATGCTCTCCAATAACCTCCTTATGCTCCGACAACTTTAGGCTGGTGGGTTGATATCTAGGCATTTCAAGAATGCCTTGTTTTCCCACACTCCCTTTTTCTGGCAGCTAAAAAGACCAAAGGAATATCTTTTTAGCCAACTGGTGCTTTTTCAAGAGACAACCGGACTTTATTTTGCTTTGAAGATGTTACTCGTCTTATACCAGAAGCTTTTTCAGCTCTGACTGACTGGTGGGGAATGGAAGGATTTATATTCCTTGCAGACAGCTGGTCATTTGCATTCTTTTAGAGAGTAGTTGAGGCCACTTGTAAGTCTGTCTGTGTCGTCAGGGTCATCTGAGTAGTGCAAATGGATTTGGACCCTTCTTGGAACTGCTTGAAAGGACTGTGATGTGGAGCTGATATCCTGTGCTTTCTGCAGGATGTTTCTGCCCTGTGTCCCTTCACTGTTGAATACAGGCAGGCTGTGGGGATGAATCTGTGTTGTCTGCATCTCAAACTGAAGCACAAATGGTCCCTGTAGTCTGCAATTTTTTTCTGGAACTCCATTCAAACTCCTATACTGTTCAGAGGGGTTCGTCCCAAAGTGCATTGCTAAATGTCTATAAAGATTCTCTGTCATCCAGGTCACAGTTGTCCCAAAGCCGCTTTTTCAAGAGACAACTGGAAATTCTTGTTTTGCTTTGAAGACATCAAGGGAGGATTAAATTAGGGGGTCAGATTTGGTGCTGTGCAAATGCCAAAATTGAATTATCTACATTACCTCTCTGGAAACGTGATTGCCACAACCGGAAGAGAAGTTTTCATGATATATCTTATCTCTTTCCAGGATGTCTTCTGGTGCTTTATTCCCAACCTTGGTGCCTGGTTCTCGGGGTTCGTCAAGCAAATACCTGGTCGAGTTCCGTGCAGGAAAGATGTCTTTGAAAGGCAGCACGGTCACCCCTGATAAGAGGAAGGGCCTTGTCTACATACAGCAGACGGATGATTCCCTCATTCACTTCTGTTGGAAAGACAGGACATCTGGGAACGTGGAGGATGTAAGTGCAATACTCCAGCCATTGGATTGTGCATGTTTGTTTATTAGATTTTACCTCTTAAGTAATTCCAGGCAATGAAGATACATAATACTCCTTCCTCTTCCTATTTTCCCCACTGTAACATTGGACTGGTTGGACTGAGAGAAAATGACTGGCCCAAAGTCACCTAGCCTGGCTTTTCATGCCAGCACCTTAGCCACTAGACCAAACTGGCTCTCATTTATAATAAGAAATTAGGTTACATGCTTTGGGGTGATAATTTAGCCCCCTTTCCTCTCCCGCTCCTATTTTAGAAAGAAACAGAATAAATATAGAAGGTATGAATCTATGTAGAATTACCTCTTTCTGCAAAGAGGCATGTGCTTCGCTTCTGCAGCTGCTCCTAGAAAACCATGCTGATAAGTGCATAATGTTTTCTGCTCTTCCCTGGAACATCCTGTGTTTTTTTTTTTTCTCATGAAGCACACTGACTCAATTATCCAATGATAGTTTTTCTCTTTTGAAAAGGAACCTTCAAGAAAGAGAATTGTTTTGTGGTTTTTCCAGGCATCTTTTAATCTCTCAATTTCTGGGCTGGACAATAAAGGGGAATGAGAGAACATTTGATCTAGAACAGGAGTGTTAAACTCGTGGCATCATGGCGGCATCATGTGACGTTTTGGGACTTTTTTCCCCTTCACAAAACAGGGTGGGGCTGGGACCAGCAGTTTGACACCCCTGATTCAGAATATTTGATTTCCAGAGATGATTTCCCCCAGATAATTGGAATGGTACCTTCCATGGAGCAGCCCTGTTCCCTGCTTTTAATTGTAGATTAAAAAAATAGTTATTGATCAGCATTGATTGATAATGTAAGTATTTACATCCTGCCTTTGTTTTTTAGGACCTGATTATATTTCCTGATGACTGTGAATTTAAAAGGGTGTCTCAGTGTACTACTGGCCGTGTCTATGTGTTGAAGTTCAAGGCTGGATCCAAGAGACTTTTCTTCTGGATGCAGGTTTGTGAGTTCCTCAGTCTCAGCGCTTCTCCGGGAATTGTAATGTGACACTGCAGTACAATGCCAGTGGATCTAGAGAAGATTTTGAGTGAGAACAGTCATGAAATTGAAAGGGACTTTTGGATCAAGGTCATAGATACTTTTGGGGAGGGTCTGTTGTAACCTCAGATGGTCACTAATTGGCCATAAATTGAGGACCTCTTCTATCAAGAAAACTAAGATGTTTAGAATTGTTCATCCGTTCTGAGGAAATTGTGTTTTTCCCCCCTTTCCAGGAACCTAAGACAGAGAAAGATGAAGAGCACTGTCGTAAAGTGAATGAGTACCTCAACAATCCACCCATGCCTGGAGCCTTAGGAGGCAGTGGAAGTGGGGGCCATGAACTTTCTGCCCTTGGAGGTAGGAGCCTTTTCCTAGAAGCTCTTTCTGCTCAAGCTTAGTCATTTAAATCTGGTTCTTTAAAATCCGGTTATAAAATCTTCAATGCTGGCTAAACATCAAAATTACATATAAAACAGTAAAAATCCATGCTTTGATAGTAGCAGTAAATGCAACTTTTATTTCAAGCATATACACTTTTAGATTAGGCAGTCTAGTATGCCCAGTTCAATAAAATCCATCCATCCATTAATCAGAATAGAGCTGGAAGGAACCTTGGAGATCTTCTAGTCCAATCCCCTGCTCAAGCAGGAGACCCTATCCATTTAAGACAAGTGAGTCCAGCCTCTTCTTGAAAAGCACCAGTGAAGGAAGTACCCACAACTTCTGAAGACAAGTGATTCCACTAGTTGTTAATTGTTCTCACTGTTAGGAAATTATTCCTTAATTCCAGGCTGCTTCTCTCCTTGATTAGTTTCCATTCCTTATTTCTTGTCTTGCCCTCGGGTGCTTTGGAGAATACTTTGACCCCCTCTTCTTTGTGGCAGGCCCTCAAATACTGGAATACTGCTATCATGTCACCCCTAATCTTTTTTTTTTCACTAGACTAGGTATACCCAGTTCCTGTAACCATTTTATGTATGTTTTGGTCTCCAGTCCCTAATCATTGTTGTTGCTCTTTTCTGCACTTTTACTCTGCACAAGATGGATAGTGGGAAAATGTTCTGAAAGGAAGGTGTGAAAATGCATTTTTTGTGCACAGCTGTAAAATTATAGCACCAGAATTTTCCTTCTGTTAAACAGTTTGCATTGCCTGGCATTTAGTTACACAGTTATAAACATTTTGTCTCTTATTTTTCTTTTTAGGTGAGGGTGGCTTGCAAAGTCTTCTGGGAAACATGAGTCATAACCAGCTGATGCAGTTGATTGGACCAACAGGCTTAGGAGGACTTGGTAAAGTGTTTTCATATTTATGTAAAAATGGTATTTATTTAAATCTTGTCTTAGCTTTTAGTTTTAGAAAATAGCCTGCTACTACCTTGCTGCTGATGAGACTATACTTAAACGAAAGTGCCCTGACTTGTGAGTGTTAGTATGGGATGCAGGAGCATTAGTTTAAATTGTTTCATTTTCTTCAGTGGTTGCCAGCGACTGAATTGATGCAGAACCTCCTCTGTTTCCATGAATGCAGGTAGAATTGTTCTGTTGCTTCCTGGTATATATGAGAGACCTAAGAATGGTACTTCTAAATATTCCCATGTTAATCAAAACAAAATAACAAGATGTGGATTATAAATATTAACTGACAGAATATAAAAGACATTAAGGACAAATAACTGAGAAGGGAGGAGCCTGCGCCGTGGCGATACGGTCTGCAATCGATCTCGATTGCAGCCGATATCTCCGCTACCGGCCGGTCCAACGGACCTACGCTGTCCCATAGGGGCAGCCATCGTGAAGAGCGTACCCTGAGGACTCCGGGGATACCGCAAAATCCCTGGAGAGCCCGGGTGAAGCTCTTCTTGCCAGCGGCGGAAAGGCAGCCCCCATGCTGCTGAAGCCGGGGCGGCTCCAGAAAGAATGAGTTTGAGAAAGAGTTTGTCGGTTGGGTGAGAACCTTTTTTCTTTATTTAATTTTTTGAGCCTTGAAAGTTTACTCTGACTACTTGAAGAAACCTGTGTGATTTTTTTTTTTTTTGACAAAATTGACTTAGCGGCGTTCTTTTTAGGGAAACGTCAAAGAGAGAATCCATTTTTTTTTTCTTTTCTTTGCTTCCGGACTTTATTGTTATTTATTGGATAACTGGACTGTTTTTCTTTTTTTTTATATATTCATATGTTTTATTCTTCTTCTGGACTTTTTATTTTTTTTTGGGCTAGAGGCTTCTCTTGATTTTGTCTGATTTTTGTGCTTTTGTTTTTGTGTATTCCACGTCGGCTTTCCCTTGCTTTCCCTTGTTTATTATGCTTTTCAGAGAGGAGGGGGGAAAGTGAGAACTAAGATACTTTGTAACACTGCCACCTAGAGGCTCGGAAATATTTTACTTGAATTGGAAAAAACAGACTCTTCTTCTCAAGGACATCCTCTGATAAGATAGAGGAAAGCACTTTGTTGAATATTATTACAGGTGTCTTTCAGGATATTTATGGCTTAGCTTTGAAGCTTGTGGGAAAGAGAAGGGAGTTATAATTAGAGCCTTGGACAATTAAATAGAGTGCAGTGTATTGTTGCTTATTTCCTTTTTCTAATTCTTTTTTTTAGTTCCGCCACCCCCTCCACTAACATCAAGGTCTTTATTTTTAAGCTTGATTTATTTGCAAAGGGAAGCCTCTGAATTTCTTTTTTCTACTTTTATTTTACTTTGATTTAACTTGCTTTATTTTTTCTCTTGCCCATTTGGATCCTGTTTTTTCTTTTTTCCTTTTTTTTAATGTACATCAGCGGACTATTTCTTTTTCCTTTTCTCAATTGAGGTTTCTTTTTTTTCTGGCTGGACTAAGGTGTGGAATTTGAAGAAACTTATTTTTCTTGGTTTTTGTTTTGTTTTGTTTTTTCTCTTTTTCTTTTTCCCTTCTTCTTTTTTGGCTTTGTCTTGTTTATTATTATTATTGGGTTTTTATTTTTACTGTTACTCTTTTTTATGGATTTTTTTTTATTGGATTAAGGTCAGGAAGAATTTGAAGAATTTTTTCCTTTTTTTTTCTCTCACTATTGGCTTTTTTATTGTTGGCCTTTTTATCTTGGATTATAATTTCATTTTTTTTTCTCTTTTTTTTTGTGGATTAAAATTTGAAAGAACTTGAAGAGTTGGAACCACTTAAAATGACTAAGAAACTTATATCTTCGGGTGCCTCTATGTCTGCTTCTGCCTCCCCACCATCTGGACAGCGCTCAATTCAGACATTGTTAAAGCAAGATAAAGAAAAAGAACAAGAAAGAGTATCCTTCCAGATGATTATGCAAGGAATTCAAGATCTTAAGGTAAAAATGGATACTATTGAACAAAGAACAGGTAGGATGGAACAGATGATGGAAAAATATGAGGAGAGACTTCAAAATGTTGAAGAGGGGGGCAAACAAAGAGAGGAGAAGATTGGAAACATTGACAATAGATTAACAGTGATTGAACAAGAAAAAAGTGAGATGTTGAAGTGGGAGTTGGATAGATCAGAATTTTATCTCAGATTTCAAAATATAGAAGAAGAAAAAGGACAAGATCTGGCCGCGATAATGGTAGGAATTCTGGCGGAGGCGCTCGAGATAACAGAAGAGAAGATGATGGATGGAATAGATGAGATATATCGAGTTTTTACAAGATATGCGATGAGAAATAACCTACCCAGAGAAGTTCATATTAGATTTATTAAAAAATCTTTGAAGACACAAGTATTGCAAGCAGCAAGAGAGAAACCACTGAAATACAAAGGTAAAGAAATTTTGGTTTTAAAACAAATACCTAGAAGAGTGAGAGAGATGAGAAGAGAATATCGATTCCTGACTAAAAGGTTATTGGAAAAAGAGGTGTCTTACAGGTGGTTGATTCCAGAAGGATTGATGTTTACGTGGCAGGAACAGAGACATAGAATTGATTCAATCGAGAAAGCAGAACTGTTTTGTGCAGAGGTTCTTGGAGGGAGAGAAGGAGGAGCAGGAAAGGAGGTCCCATCAATTGAATCCCAAGAGGAACAAATGGAGGTTGGAAAAGAAGAAGGTGCAGTAGGTGGACAAGTGGATATTAAAGATCAACGTGAGGCAAGACCCACGAGAGTGGTTAAATCTAAATATAAAACATAATTATGGAAGAGAAAAAACTGATTACAATGAATATAAATGGACTGAATTCAGCTGCTAAGAGAAGGAAGACTTTCCATAAATTAATGAAATTAAGGTTTGACATAATTTGTTTACAAGAAGTTCATATTAAAAAGCAACATGATCAATTGTTATTACAACCAAAATTAGGGCAATTGTTTACCTCTTTGACACAATCCAAGAAAAGAGGGGTGGTTTTATATATTAAAGAGGCCATTTCAGCAAAAATGATTTATACAGATGATGATGGGAGAATATTAATGGTAGAAATAATGGACAATAATAGAAAGATACTTTTGATTGCAATTTATGCCCTGAATGATAAACAGGAAGAATTCTATAGAAAATTACATACTAAGATTGCTGAACTTGACTATGCTAATATAATTATGATGGGAGACTTTAATGGAATTGTGGATAATAAACTTGATTATATCGCAACAGCAGTAAAGCATAACAGAAAAACTCTTCCTAAATCCTTTTTTAAAATGATAGATGAATTAACTTTAAAAGACATATGGAGAGAAAGAAATGATAAATCTAAGCAATTTACGTTCTATTCAAATAGGCATTTATCATGGTCCAGACTGGATATGATTTGGATCTCAACAGATTTAATGTCTAGTATTCAAGAAGTAAATATTGAAACAAGCACTTGGGCTGACCATAACCCATTGACAATTAAATGGAAGGGACAAAGGAAAAGATCGAGATGGACATTAAATAATGCTATTTTAAAGGATAAGGAATTTATACAATGGATGGAGAAAGAATTGGCCTTCTTCTTTAAAGAGAATAGAAAAGAAGACACCTCAACACAGAATGTTTGGGACACAATGAAGGCCTATGTTAGAGGCTTGATAATAGACTATACAAGAAAAAAGAATATTAGGAAAAGGCAAACTCTTAAAGCCTTGGATGATGAATATAAGAGACTTGAAAAAGAATTACAGAAAATGCCACACAGAAAAGATGTTAAACTGAAACTGGATATAACTAAACATAAAATGGACTTAATAGAGAAAGAAGAACTGGCACAGAAAATTAGGAATGCTAAACAGAATTATTTTGAGGATGCAAATAAGCCAGGTAGATGGCTAGCATACAAATTGAGAAAGGAGAAAGAGTCGAGGAAAATACTGCAGTTAATACATGACCAAGGTAAAATTTGTTACGGCAGCAAAGAAAAAAAAGAAATTATTTATGATTTTTATAAGCATTTGTATAAGAAAGAAGACATTGATGAGGAGAAAGTTAAACAATACTTACAGAATGTAAATTTACCTAAGATACCTAAAGAGATTGAAGAAATGCTAGAAAGCAATATAACAATGATGGAGTTAAGCCAAGCACTTAAGAAACAAAATAATGGAAAGGCACCAGGTCCAGATGGACTTCCTGTAGAATTTTATAAAACTTTTCAAGAATTACTTTGTATCCCATTGTTAGAAGTTATGAATGAAGTCATGGTAAAAAAGATAATTCCTAAAACATGGTCAGAGGCTTATATTACACTTATTCCAAAAGAGGAGGCGGACCTACTTCAAATCAAGAATTATAGACCGATTTCCTTATTAAATGCAGACTATAAAATTTTTGCTTCAATATTGGCAGAAAGACTTAAAAAGTATCTGAATAATTTCATCCACCCAGATCAAAATGGGTTTCTGCCAAAACGACAAATTAGAGATAATATGAGAGTAATTTTAGACACCTTGGAATATTATGAGGTGCACCCTGAAAAGCAAATGGCTTTGATATTTTTAGATGCTCAAAAGGCATTTGATAATGTAAATTGGAGGTTTATGGTACTCCTAATGGAACAGATGGGCTTTGCTAGAAGATTTATTCAAGCAATAGAAGCAATTTATAATGAACAAACAGCTAAGGTAATGATGGAAGGAGAATATACAGATTCTATTAATATAAGAAAAGGTACAAAACAAGGTTGTCCTCTTTCGCCTTTGTTATTTGTAATGACTTTGGAAGTGTTGAATAGAAATATCAGAGAAGATAAAACTATAAAAGGAATGAAAATCAAAAAGGAGGAATTCAAACTACAAGCTTTTGCAGATGACCTAGTCTTTATTTTGGAAGATCCTATAGAAACAGCCTCGAAACTGTTGGAAAAGATAGAGGC